GGATAAGTATGTCTGAGATATTGCCTTAATTTTAATTTGTCAACTCATCTGGCTGCCAGTGGAAAGCTGACCTGGAACTTTTTGGAGGTCCATTGCAGCAATGTTCTGAGCTCCTGAAGCTCAGAAACACTTACACTAAGGTACTGGGTGGGGAATGGGTTACCACTATCTGTGACATGGCTACCTGGGGTTCCTGAAATTGCTGCCAGCATCCCTAAACAACGCCCACTAGAACTGAGGTGTCCAGAGAATCCAGGTCTTCCAAGATGACACGCAAAAGGACCTGTAATCAAGATACAGAGGCCAACTATGCCTGAGATGGAAGGATTTGTTAATCACTACTAGGAAACAGAAGTGAATAGCAAAACTACTTCTAAAATGCATCCTCCTCCTCTTCAATAGGAATAGCCAAAAGTGGATGTTTAATTGGAAAGAATATTTTGGATATAAAAGTTGGGTTCATGGCCACCTGACGTACAGTTTCTCATCTCTTGCACCCCCTTTCAACTTCTCTATCCCTATGGTGACCCATCCCTATTGAATAAAAAGGGAAGATTCTCTTACCTTTAATCACTTCCTAGTGTCTCAGACACAGACACTGAAAACAAGTGTATAGTTAATGAAAACAATGAAATGAATGAAGAATAAACACAAGAAGACCTCAGGTTTCCCTGCCATCACAGTATGGGATACCATCAAAGAACTGCAAAGCCTGAAGATGAACAAACTTGCATGTGTCAGAAAGTTAAGACCTAAGGGGTACCCCCAACCCATAGCTTCAACACTGTTAGTGGTGCATTTTCCATGGCTTCTCAGAGGGCCCCCAAGGAATCCAGCACCAGTGTCCACAGTAGGGAACAGCCTGATAAACATGTTTAACTCACTTTTCTTTCTTTCCTCTCACTTTAGCAGGATCAATTCCTATATCTTGAGACACTTCCCAAAATAAACTAACTGTGGAAACCATGATCCTAGATTGTGTTTCTGCTTTGCTTTGCTTACAGATTTGATAGGGAGTCAGTGGTATATAAGACATTTATATTACTGCTTGGGTTTTCTCTTACTCTATGCTCCCATGAGTATGTCCTTCATACCCACAGACTTGCCACAACCTAGATTCTGATGATTTCCAAATCTATAACTGTGGCCAAATTCTCCGTGCTGAGTCATATTCAAGTCAACTTATGTTTTATCTAAAAAATTTGACTTCAATATGTGAAGGAATGGTCCTTCTCATGACCTATCATCTTCCTTGTGCTGCTTTACAAACCTCTGTCAAAGGTATCATTGTAAAAATCAATTTTTGGATTATAAAATACAAACATGTTTAAATCATCATTCTCTCAGGATATTAGCCTATCAGTCCAGCAGTGAGTTCAAGCTAGAGAAAGAAAGTAGGCTGCTAGTGATAGCCACAAGGTAAGTCCCAGGCTTTAGTCTAGGGAGAGGAGAGACATATTTGAGATAAATTTGGGGAAATAAATATTCTTGCAAATGTCACAGAATATGCAAATGTCACATTGAGTACGTCCCCCAAAGGCCTTCTGTGCTTATAGGTGAGGCTTCTGGAAGAGGACTAGACCATAGTGGGGGACTTTAGTTGACTTCCTATTAGAAAGTGAAGCAAGGTTAGAAGCAGGTCACGGAAGGCCAGCCCTATCAGGGTGCATCTTCCTTTCCAACCCCTCCCTTCTCTCTCTGCTTTCTGGCCACCATGATGTGAGCAGCTTTCCCCTGCCCAGGCCCTTTTAACATGCCCTTCTGCCTTAGAACTTGCCAACCATAGACTGGAAACATGAGCCAAAATAAACCTCTCCTTCATTATGTTTGTAGGTGTTGGGTATTATATCTCCACCATGAGAAAGTGACTAAGACACACAGTAATTCTATGTTTTTGTACTCACATAGCAAGATTGTAGTCAGGACAGGGTGGGGCCCTGGATGGCTTACTGCTATCTAGGCTCATATCCTGTCTATCTACAACTTGATTTGTACCCTTTTGAAATATCAAAATACAACGTAATTAAGGGCCTGGGATTTAGCTCAGTGGCACCACACCTGCCTCGCAAGTGCAAGGTCCTGAGTTAATCCCTAGCACAAAAAAAAACCCCAATGTAATTAAAATCTATTATACTGAAAGAATGATGGCCAGTACAGCAGAGGACAGGGAGGGAGCTCCTTCTAAACCTTCTTCAGGGGGAGCTGCTATCTAAATTGTATTTGCAGATCCTCCTGAAAACCGACCATAGTCTTTGTTCTTAAGTTCCACTAAGATATCCTCATGTCCCACCAATGCTGTTTGTTTCCATTCTTTGTAATCAAAGAAGCCTGCTTGAATCCTACTCTCATAAATTTCAAAATTCCACTTAGTTTCCTTTTGTAATATTCAAGTAAAATCTCTAAATTAAAAGTTTTGTAAGGTGTTAATTATAGATACATGTTTATTATTATGTGCATGTGATTTTATACTCCTCATAGTCCCTAAAATTATATAGCATGTTAGTAACATAACAGCAAATATTAATCTCTGAGTGAATATGATAAAAATGGATATATACTAGGAGCTTCCAATATAATATGTAGAAATATATAAGGTAGGGCATTTATAAAAATTTTAGCAATTTCAAATAATTTTATATAAATGAAGCTGGAAATATGCAAAGGGAGTAGAGGGAAGGGGGAAAAAGAATTGAAATGTGTTGGGTACATGTACCAACTCACTAGAGTCAATGTGATCAATATGTACTGCAAACATGTACTAATAAAGGTCAAAAAAAAGTAATAAAACACTCAATATTTTTAAATTCATAGAAATTGAAAAACTTTTAATAATGGAGAATGGCATTGTTTTATTTGATTTTTTTTCCAGTTGAAATATTTAACTTCTAGAAGTTTGGCTTATGGGGAGTCTGCTAACTAACTGGAGCTTTTTTCCAGATCATTATTTGTTCAATGTTGGTTTTGGGGATCTTTCTGAAACAAATCACATCCTCTGGTGTCTTGAGATGCTTTTTTAAGTTATATGGAAAAATGTTTAAGTGCTTTTCAGCTTTGTTTTGGTTGAGTTCTACTGTATTTGAATATTATTGTAGTTTTTTCCCCTTGCATTGTTCTTCTTTGAATGGTTTTAATTTTTTGTATGTGTGTGTGTTTGATAATAAAGTTATTTTAAAAATTTAAAAAAATTTAACTTCTTCAGAACTAGATGGAAATCTTCTAACCACATTAATGGCTGTGAAAATCATCTGATAACATATTGGTTTATATTCTTCCTTATGACACCTGTGGAAAACTTTCAATCTAGTCGATTTTAGTTAAAATGTTTAAAAGTAAGTGCAACTTCCCATTAGCCCAATCTGCTATTTCTCAACTTGTCATAATTTGGCTAACACAGCAAATGGTTAAAACATTTTAAAGGGAAAAATATTTTAAACAAGCTAGGAGCAAACTTAATATAAACATCCCAAATGCAAAGAATTTCTACCTGTTACTGAGTTACTGACATAGTATTGTATATGCTACACTCAAATTAGCATTTGTAGAATTTGATAATACATTAATAGACCATATTTAAAGTACTATTGCTCACATTTTGCAATTTGCTACCTTATATCATCTAATAACACTATTAATAGGATAGTAGTTCAAACTTGTTTAAAGGTAAGTGCTTATTTGATTCTCAAAGCTACACTGTGAAGTATATTTATTATTATCCCTACTTTATAGATGAGGAAACTATATCTGGTAGGGAAATTTCTCATACTAGTTAATTATAAATATATAAACTTCTTTACTCAAAAAATCTACTTCTGAATTTTTTCCTAGTGATACACTTGCAAATTTGTAAAATTACTTACATACAAACCATTCTCCTCATCATTGCAACAGAAAAGACTGTAAATAGTATTATGCCCATAAGTTCAATAAATTATAGCACATTCATATAGGAAAACTTCAAGCTAAATTTTTAAGTGAAAAAAGAAAAGTGCAATATGATATACATAAAATAACTATTTAAAGATATCTCAGTTGCTTCTATATTTTGACAATCGTGAACAAAGATATGTAAACGTTCGTGAATAGGTTTTTGGGGGGGACATAAAATTTCAGTTTATTTGTATAAATACCAAGGAGATTAACTGCTGGTTATATGGTAAGATTTCATTTACTTTTGTAAGATACCGTCTTCTAAAGTGGTTATATCATTTTACATTACCATCAGCAACAAATAGGTGTTCCTGTTTTCCCACATCTTCAGTGGCCTGCGGCGCTCTCTGTGTTTTGGCATTAGCCATTCTAACAGGTATGCGGTGATATCGCAGTTGTTTTAATCTGCAATGTCATGATGAAATATGATGTTAAGCAGCAGTCTGTATGCTGTTTCTTGTGTATATATCTTTTTTGGTAAGGTGTCCAGATATTTCGCTCATTTTTAATTGGATTATTTTGTTATTGTTGCATTTTGAGAAATCTTTATATTTTGCAGACCAATCTTTTATCAGATGCTTTGCAAATATTCTCTCCCATTCTGAAGTTTATGTTTTCATTATCTTAATGGTGTCTTCTATAGTGCAGTTTTTTATTTCAATAAAGTACAATTTGACAATTTTTGGTCTTTTATGGACCATGAGATTGGTGTTATATCTAAAAATCAATGCCAAACTGAAGGCCACCTCGAGTTTTTCCTATGCTATCTTTTAGCTTTATAGTTTTGAAGTGTTCATGTAGATCTGTCTATTTCAGAATAATTTTGTGAAAAATATGTCTGTGTAACTGGACACTCAGGTGTTCAGCCTTGAGTTTTGAAAATATTGCCCTTTCTCCATTGTATTGCCTTTGCTTGTGTGTCAATGATCAGTTGATTATATTCCTAAGGGTCCTTTTCTGGGCTCCCTATTCTGTTTCATTTATTTATGTATCTCTTCTCTTAACATTATCACACTGACTTGATTACTGTATTTATATGGGAAGTCTTGAAGATAGTTAATATAAGAACTTACATTTTGTTCTTATCCTTCAGTAGTTTGTTGGTTCTTCTGTGTTTTCTGCCTTTTCCTATAAGTTTTAGAACATGTTTGTCAATATCCATAAAATGACATGGTGGTATTTTGAACAGAAGGCTTTTAAAGAAGAGGGAATATTTTGATGTTCTGAAGCAATTTTCACTTATTAATTGCACTTTGTTTCCTAATTATTTAGTATCACTGGCCACTTAATATGCAAGGATACGGACACTTCAGCAACTAAATCTGACTCCAAAGCACATTTGGTTAACGGCCACACTCTGTTGTTTCTTAATTACCCTGCCAAGAACAAGGTATTGCTTGCAGTCTAGGCCAATCACTCACATACAGCAGGCACTCATTACATGAATGAATAAGTGCTGGAATGACCGAGGAAATGTGTAAATGCATCTTAAACACATTAGAAATTTTAAACTGCTACGCAAATAGTATGTGTCTTTCCTAAAATCAACATTATTAAGTTATTTTATAAGTAACACCCCTTTTCACTTAATTTCATGCCTTGTATTAATGTACAGAAAATGAAAACATTTGCTTACTTTGCTGTCAACTGTTTCTCCACCAAAAGCCAAGCAGAATTTGACCTTCCATCAGGAGAACATTCTGACCCATTGGCCAATACTGACAATAAGAAAACATCATAATTGAAATTAGCCTTCTGTTCGTGAATATCACTGAAAAATGAGAACTTTAAGACCAAAGACTGTAGAGCAGGGATGTGTGCGTGTGTGTGTGTGTGTGTGTGTGTGTGTATGTGTGTGTGTGTGTATCAAACATTTTCGACATTTAGTTTTGTTGCATATTACAATGTGGACTACTAAACTCTGGAGGCGCATTCTGACCTGTTACAATCTCAAATCATACACAAGCAGCAGATGTCAGTGTTGTGCAACTTTCAGGCTGAGTGCTCAAAGAGGCAAACTGGTCTTTGTCACTTAGAAACAGAATCAGCTGTCATTTATATACACAAACACAGCATCCTTAGGTCCAGGGTAAACCCAAGAGGACACACACACACACACACACACACACACAAACAATTGTAATTTGAGAAATTACACAGCACCTTCTAATGATACAGCTGCTAATCTAAAGATGAGAGGTTGAGCACAGGATGAACTGTCTAGCCCAATGCATTTTGCTGCCCCAGAAGGAGATGGAGACAACCAGAAAGTATTGTTGTGACTCCTTTGTCATGACTATTGTGAGCCAGAGCTGAGGAAGCCTGGCTAAATCAGTCTTGTCTGATCAGCTGACAGTGCTTCATACTTAAATCCACATGATCAGATGCCCAGCCTTCTAGCATTTCCTCCAGGTCCTAGCTAATCAGAGTCCCTTCTGTTTCTGCAGTGTCATCAGGAGCTACTTTTCTTCCTTTTCTCTACTCCAGCCATTGATTTCTGTCTATTCCTTTCCCACTCACGGTTCTGCTGATAATGCCTTGCCTTGCCACAGCTCCACTTCCTTAGCTCCAGCTTCCTCAACTATCAGCTAAAAGTTCCTTCATCATGAAAGGCCAGGTTTCATAGCTCTGGTCTTTCTTTTATGGTCTCATCATACCCTTTAGTTTCCCTTCCTGGGCTTATCACAATTTACAATTATATTTTTGGTCATTTAATTAATGTCTGAGTACTCAACTTCAACTAAAATATAAATCCCATAAAGACAAAGAAGATGGCTGTTTTGTCCATCATTATTTCTCTAGCCTCTCATATGGTGGACATCAAGGGAAGTTTATGAATAAATAAATGTTAAATCAATAACTATACGTTAAAAGGAGGAATGAAAAAATTAACAAGTAAATTGATTATATATACTCTTCCATGTATAAGTATAAAAACAAAGTAGGCTAGAAGGGGGAGAGACTATCTCATATAGCTAGAATATCTCAGATAGCTGTTTCCAGAATTCTGAGAACTCAGCAGGCTAAGAACTGTGCAGAAATGCAATCTGACTTGACACTATATTTATGGTGTCAGGGACTGAATCTTTCAGTGTAGAAAGAGATTTCTGTCCAGCACTACTGAATGGAACCATCATGTACTGGCCTCTCATCAGCAAAGGAAGAAGAGCAGGCTACATATATGTGAGGAACACTAGCCTTTCTTCAGAATAATTTATTTGAAATGTATTATGTGGAAGAGAAAAGATTATAGACAAAGATTTCCATCTTTTTCCAGGGACAAATGAGTTGAATTTATTTGTCTGAGATACTGCTCAAAGGAAAGGAAAATCTAGCTATTTTTCTTTCTTCCACAAGATGGGGCAATCGGAATGAATTCAACTACAAAGAGAGAAGCTCCAAAGAAAGTCTTTCCTTATTAAATAGTCTGATCTGGTTAGACCAGAAAAATGGAGCCGGTTTTGAACTTGTTTGTGCATCTGTGCAGCATTTCCTGAAAATATTAGTTCTGTCGTAGACAATAGTTAGGCCAGAGGAGAGTATGCAGGAGAGCCTGAGGCCCATTGCCACCCAAAGATGAGGTCAAAGGGAGACTTTTCAGTTTCCAGAGCCCTTGTAATCCAGTCCCAGGGAGCTACAAGAGTCTCTAGCTCAGAAATAGCTGCTGCAAGACTGAGCAAATTTACCATGCAGAAACATTTCCTCACATTAGGAGGAAAACCTAGATGACATATAATGATGCCTATTTTGAACTAAATTATTTTAATATGACAATCAAAATGAACAAATTCTACTTCTTAATATTCTAGTGTCCTGTTTACAGTCGCAGTGGTTACAGTGGAATATTCCATAATGCATTAAATCAGGCCTGACATAAAATAATTACAACATTCAAGTTTTATTATTCTACCTATGACCTATTTGCACAGAACATTTCTTGCTTCTGCTTGGCCATAGATTTATTAGCAGATCATTATAAATTTATCTCTGAAAAAACTTGTGGGAAATGGGTTTGACAATAATTTCCATATTAAGTTAGCAATCTTTAGGAAGATAATATTGGAGTGCTTTTATCATGATTATCTTATTCAATTCTCTTGACTACCCTGTAGGTTAAATATTACCTTTATCATCACGCTTTCACAAGCATATGGGATATTTACTTATTCAAATATGCACAAGACGAAAGCACCAGAGATAAGCATGGGCATTGGCCTTTTAGACTCTTGCTCTTGGATTGCATGGATGGGAGTGGTGAAAAAGAGAGAGGGAAGACTGGACTTATCTACAGAGCCAGTGTATGCTTATATCAGAGGCAAATGCACATTGTACAAGAGCTAGGAAAGCCAGTCAAATTAGCCTAAATAATAAAAATAATTTATTAGATCACTGCAGAAGTCTTACTTGCTCAAAGGATGTCATCATGGACCCAATCTTTGAAGTCTTATGTTTATCTACTAGCATAATCCGGTATGTTCAGGGACCCCAAAATAGTAAAGTCCAGGCTTCACATGGTCTCATACTGTTAGGAGGAATCAATGCCTTGCCTTAGAAATCCCCTCACCTGTCATCCACTCTTTCATAAGTCCAGACACCTGGTTCATAGTTCCATTTCTACAACAATCTCAGCTGAATCCCTATACTGAAGCCAGTCTCACTTAAATCCTTATTGCTAAAATGAAGAAAGGTTTATTTTCCAAAAGGAATGGTAGAAGAAAAAGAAATTCATTTCTGGGAAACCATAAAACATACCTCCTTTTCTGGAATTAAACAAATTATAAAGTATTACCTGTTCAATTAAAATTTATGATTTTTCTGGCCTCTATTGGTTGATTTCAATTATTTAAAAATACAAACTATTGTAAAATGTTCTGAAAAAGGCCTTAGACATGAGCTTCAGAAAGTTTAAAAACTAGATTCACAGATAATACACGCGAGATACTAGGTGCCTAAAAAGCAAGGGCTTGCTAGGTAGCCCTGGAGAGTTCAGACTTTTAGAATAGGTCGGTGTTGAGAAGCTACAAGTGGAAAATAAATACCAAGTACAGAAAAATCCACTTGGCTTTAAAACTTGCTAGGTCTTTTATATAAACATCTATGAGGGAAAAGGTTATGCAGTTAAACCTCTGATATACTCTGTCTCCCCAACCACTTACGTTTCCAAGCCAGTTTCCTCATTATAACAAATGTTTGGAGGGTAGTGAGGCCTATGTTTCTCACAATTTTGTGAGAATTAAAAGCAATAATGTATACAAAGGCTTTGTAAGTGTAAATGTCTGTAACTGGAAGAATTATACTCCTGAAAATTTCATTTGTAGTTTTAAACTGCTATATAAGGAAGACACACCTGCCAGCAAACAGGGTATATATTGGCTTTTTCAAAATAGGTAGGTGTCAGTTACTTGACCCCATTTGTGCCAGTCTCCCATCAGCACTACTTCATCAATCTCAAATCTCTCAGAAGTTCAACTAATGCATTTCACATAGAGCACACTGAACTTTTTGTACACCCTAAATAGTATACATGGCTCCATATGTCAGTTTTCAGGTTGGTTAATTGACTCCATTTGCAGATGAAACCATTAAAAACTTTTTAATACAAATCTCAAATGTTGCTATCCTTTCTAACAAAGCTAAAAGTTCTGAAATGCGGTGCTCTCATTGCATTAATAGAGCTGAATTGAGAGAAAATGCTCATAAATTCTTTCATTTCCTCACTAATGCTATTTGTAACAGTCCAGTGGATACTACCAGGTAGCCCTCCCTTCAATATAGTGAGTGTATAATAGGTAAAAAGATTTTCTTGAAAGGGAGTATTGGTCCGTGTCCAAATATTATTGTTTTTCCTGAATAAAACGTGCACTATTATAGAAATAATAGTTACTCACTGTTAAGAGTTAGACATAAAGGAGTTATACAAAGAGCAAGACTTGAAAGTAGAATTCTTAGTATACAAGAACACTTTCTCTTACTTTAAATCTCAGTGGAAATCATTTCTCTATTGCAAAAATAATCCACTCTGATTCTTTTTATAATATGTGAAGTTCTGTAAAAGACTACTCTTGTGTACCCTTAATGTTTCTTGGCTATAAAGAAAAAATGTTTTGAAAAAATTTTCCCTTTCCCTTCATAGTCATGAAAGTCATTAGTTAAATGCAATAGAGTTAGGTTGACATATCTGCCATCTCAGCTCCACTACAGAACTCTGCCACCAGGATTCTATGACAGTAAATAAAATCCATGAAGGAAAGACTCTATTACAAAATTATGTCACTGTTCTTCAAGCATTTTTGCTTGGTACTTGGGATGTAAACATATAAGGTGTGATTGCAAAATATGGTGAATGTTTAAATTCTAAAAAATTATTACAGTAGAAGATACATTGCCATTAATTCATCTCAAAATACTACCTCTTGAAACACACTTATCTCATCGTGTGTGCCACTTTTTGAAGGAGTTCCGAGACTCCTTTCATGAAAATCTTTAGTTGCTATGTAATGCCTGCCTCAATGTCTTTTGAATCAATTCAAAACTTTTACCTTTCATGGTCATTTTGACTTTAGGGAGAAGCCAGAAGTCACAGGGTGTTAGGACACACGGATGAGGATACACTGTAATGTTTTTACCAGCCTGCATTTGAGTTGGATGGCACTCAGCAGCAGCCTTCATATAGTCTTCATCACACCTCATGAAAACAGTCAGGA